ATTAACACAATCAGGGTAGAAGCCATAGCTTTAGGTATATGATTTCCTTGGAAAAAATCTTGAACTGCTCTGACTACGTCCCCTCCCACAATGTTCCAGCACTTTCTGAAGGAAACACCATTGAAACCATCAGGACCTACAGCCTCATTTTTGTTTAGCTCCCAGACAGCTGTTTTAACTTCTTCAATGTCAGGTAATTGCATAAGCTTGAAATGATCAGAATCATCAATTAATTTTGGAATGCCTTGCAGGATCACATCAACATTCTGAACTGGTTCTTCTGTAAAAATGTTGGAGAAATAATCCACAGCCACCTTACCAATCTCTTCCTGCTCAGTGAAAGTATTGCCTTCAGAGTCTTTGATTGAGGTTATGTTCTGAACCTTTCTTCTGATATTCACAAACGAGTGATAGAAGTGGGTATTAGAATCCCCTTCTTTCAGCCATTTAAGGTGGGATTTCTGCTTCCAAAAAGTATTTTCTTGCTTAACTTTAGATATAAGCAGGGTTTGTTTAGTAGACCAATCCTCTCTATGTACCTCAGATGGGTCATTTTCAAATAATATTTCAGCTTCTTTAACCTCCTCCTCAAGCTTTTTGACATCTTCAAAAACATTCCCAAAGGTATTTTTATTCCAACACCTCAACACACATTTTAGAGCTTGTAATTTGTCACAAAGGCCTCTCATTCCTCCCATATATGGACCATTATTCCAAGATGATTTAGCAATGATCAGATGTTGCTTTATTCAAGTGATCGAGTTGTAGGGCATCAGACAGATTCAAAAAAGGGCTATTAATCATAATCCTGTCCAATTTTCTCCACACTTTTCCCCTAGCTCTTACACCACTCCAGGTAAAAAAGCTCCCTTGGGCAGGTAAGTCAACTAGATTACTGCTAGCAATGCAATCTTAAAATTCAGCCATGCTCACTGAGTGTGGCATTGCCAGACCTTTGTGTTCATTATGATTAGCAATAGCATTGAAGTCCCCTCCCACAATCCAAGGGTCTGAGTTTGAAGAGGCCCAACCAGATAGGAAATCCCATAATTTTCTCCTCTCAATATAATTATGATCCCCATAAATAGCAGAAAACCAGAAAGTGTGAGGACCACTAACCACCTTCATATGAATGTACTGTTTAGCATAGGAAGCAACAGAAATATCCACAGAGGAAGAATCCCAGAAAATCCAAATTTTATTATCAGGACAATAAAAATAATTATCCAGATGAAGATCCATAGAAATAGAAGAAATTTTAGCATCATCAATAATAGGCTCCATAATTGCAATCATATTTATTCTCCACTGTCTAATTAGATTTCGTAACCTTGGACAAGAAGAAACAAGGCCACGAACGTTCCAGATGAGGCAATTCATCACAAACAGTTGGAGAAATTTTAGGAGAGCTGCTTTACAGCCGCTCTGGTAAGTCTTGGGGTATCCGGTATTACTGTGAAAGGTTTTTTCTTTTTTTTTCCTAGCCACCTTGATGAAACCTTCATCCTTAAATTTATTTTCAAGCCCTGCTAACAAATCTTCTTCCTTTTGCATTCCATGCGCTCTGGATATGTTAATAACCGCTGCCACTTTTTTTGATAATGCAGATTGACCCAGCTTCCATTTCTGGATATTCTCCAAGAAACAAAAGTCACCGTCTGATGAATATCCTTTCGCACAGATCTTTGGATCATATGTGTCCCTCTGAATAATCTGCAGGAGCTTGTAATCATCTACAGCTCTTTCAAGGTCTGGTTTTATTATAGCCTTTTCACTCACCTGAAAATCTTCAATCTTCTCCATGTTAATATTCATTTGTGAAGCATTAGGATTCTGCTCAAAGCCTTCTACCTCAATCTGTGTAATATCATGCTGACTAATATCATGTTGTTTGGATTCCTTAACATTATGTATAGGAGGTGGAGGTTCAATGTAAACCTCTTCAATATCAGCATCAGAGCCATCACCAACCTTATGTTCCATAATCACCACTCCTTTGAAAGTAGATGGATTGCAGGAGAGCAATGAGGGATCTGCTTTATGAATTTCAGCAACTTTTGTTTTTCCTTTATCAATCCTTTTCCCCATATGCCTGTCTGTATTAAGATTTGTAGGATCTGAGCCTTCTTTAGCTATTGATTTGGGTTTAGTAACCCATTTCTCAGTAAAACCAGTAGATGGTTGATCAATGACTATTGATCGCTTAGGGCATGATGAATCACCCTAGGTGAAAACAATAGTTGCAATAAAACGGACGGTTCTCATAAACCACAGGTTGAGTGAAACCATTGGCTCCACATCGGATCCAAATTTTGTTTGGCATCTCCTTAGAAATGTCAACCTCCACGCAAACTCGTGCAAGAGAAGGCCTAGAAAGTGTTTCTGTAGCAACATCAAGTTTGAGAGGCCTTCCTATCAATCCAGCAATATCAAATAAAGCCCTTTTATCTTGTAGGTGAATAGGCAACCCCTCCAAAGCTAACCAAACTGGTACAACCGGAGATTCAATATTAGGTTGAAAATCTGGAGTCCATTTCGTCACACGCGTAGTATTTCCAAAGATATCCCAAGTTTGACGGTTCCAGCATCTAATGTAATCCTCTTCAATTTCAAACCCAACCAAGACATGTTTTTTCTCAAGTAAACCAAGATAGAATTTACCTTTGAACCCGATCAATTCAAAAGCTTTTCGTAGAGTAGCAAGATGCGGCTGACTTCTGAAAAAATATCCAACCAAGGCCCTTTTATGTTTGGCCGCCAATAACTGGACCTCCTCCTCCGGAAATGTGATGGCAAGCATACCTTTATAGCGTGACATAGCTTTCTGAGAGAGAGGAGGCTCGGCCTTATTAGCCACCACTGCAGCAAAAGATCTCCCACTCCATATCTTATCTGGTGGATGCGACGGAGGAGTCCCCTCCGCGATCACCTGCTCCGCCATACCGTAGCTCTCTAGAGTTTTAATCTGGTAACTTATGTCTTTATTAGTTACTAGTGATAGCATATTACGGAGTATTTATTTATTTGCAAATCATATGCAAGTAACTAATAAATTTATTCATAGCAAGGACTTTATAATCATGTTTTTGTTGCAAAAAAATGTTCATTTTGGTGGACAACTTTTCAATGTATACTAACTTTAATTTAATACTTAGATGTTATGATTTGTAAATAAGTTAGAAGACTATATCTTTTACTAAAAGCTACCAACTTTTACTTTTCCAAATCCTTTTTTTAAACTCTCAACTTTTAGATTAAAGCACTTTTTTCGTAAAACACAATAAAAATTAATTTTAATAAGTAAAAGCAATCACAAAAACTTTCATACTACTGGAGTGTTTGCAAAAATTTAAAAAAGTGTTTTTCAGATTTTGACTTTAAAAAAGTTGAAATTGGTGCTTCAAGTGACAGCTCCTACTTAAATTAAGCACTTAAAAACTAAAAGCTAGAAGCACTTTTAGAGATGGTTTAATCTGCTTTTCATTTTTTTTATTACACAGAGAGCACTTGTTTACCAAACATTATCAACTTTTACTTTTTCAGAAACATTTATTTCTCAAATACTACAAATTTTTACTATTAAACATTTTTTCCAAAATCATTTTTTTTCTCACAATTATTTCTAACCTATTATACTGTTCTAAGTTAAGGCCAACATCCTTGAACTGGGATGAGATTCGAACTTATGACCTCCTCCTTGGAAGTGTCACATTGATGTCATCAGACCACAAAGTACTTGGCCCAAAATCATTTTAAAAAATCACTTTCTTAAAGTAGAAGCAATCTATGTTGCACGGATACGGATACACCGATACAGATACACCGATACGCGAATACCTGTACGACAATATATCAACTTCAAAACTTATAGGATACGTGTACAGGGGTATATTTATAAATAATAAAAATATAGGGTATACTTTGCAAATATATATATATATATATATATATATATATATATATATATATATATATAATACAGAAGGTTCATAAATAAAAAAATAATAGTACCAAAATTAACAATTATAATAAAATTTCAAAGATCAGACTAAAAACATAAAGTAGTGATATTTCAATTTAAATTCAAATAATATTTTTGGTTTCTGTTTGCATTTTCATCTAAGTCTTTTAACAAGATTGATTTCAATTAAAGCTCATCAAGCGACAAATTGACAAATTATAGTGTTTCAATATTTTTAACTCCCAAAATCATCTTTAACAATGTTCCACATCTTGTGTTGGCATGGGCAGCTACTAATTTTTTGTCATGCCATGTATGAATTAAGGTTACAGGATTAGATACCATATTTGTTCACGGATACGAGTATCGAAAATATTTATATTTTTAAAAATAGATCCAATACTTTATTAAATTATGGATGCATATCCAATACGCACAGGACACATATCAGTGAGTATATGATACACGAATACGACATCACGATGAAGTATCGATGCATCACAAGAATGACAAAATTAAAACACAAAGTAGAATGACTAATGTCCTAAAGGATACGTCACAAGTTTATAAGCTTAACACGGAAACTGTCGGGCCAATAAAAATATCAAAAATGATATTTGCACCCATCCTTATACTCATCTTATACTAACCATGTTTGTGATAGAATTTTGTTTTGTATGTGAATTCCGTTTACAGACAAAATATATCTTATTTTGTCTGTGTAAGTTTTGCACGGAAAAAATATGACATATTTTATCTATGAACTAGATTTACGAATTAAAAAAACTTTGAGATGTACTCCGTATATAAAAGTGGATATAATAAGGGTCACTGCCATAAGAATTTGTAAAAATACCAGGATCCAAACGAAGAGTTTGGCATAACGGGCCCAATAGTCTAATCACCATCAGTTGGGCTTCTCTCCTTAACTCTACAACTCTAGTTTTGCCAATCTCCGAGACCCCGTCGTGTTTTCGGCACCGCCGGCGGCGGTTCTACTGTCTTACTGAGAAGGAGAGAGAGATGGTAGGAAGGATCATAGCAAAGAAGAAGGTATGTTTAGGAGAGCTAGGGTTCAACAAGGGTGGTGGTGCCATCAATTGGTTCCCTGGCCACATGGCCGCCGCCACCAGGGCCATCCGCCAACGCCTCAAGCTCTCCGACCTCGTCATCGAAGTTCGAGATTCGCGCGTATGTCCATCAATCTTATCCAAACTTACTCTTCATCTCCTCCGTCGAATGTTCGTTTTCTGTGTCCTATCATACATATATTGAATGGTTAATACGATGGCAATTCGTACAGATACCTTTGTCGTCAGTGAATGAAGACTTGCAACCCATCATTTCCCAGAAAAGGAGGGTTATTGCCCTCAACAAGAAAGATTTGGCCAACTCTAACCTCATTCATGTATTTTTTCTCATCCTCTATTGCACTTTTAGGAAATTATCAGCATTTAAGAAACGTTAGACTTTACTATCGTGTGAAAGAGTCTACCTTTAAGATTGACTTGGTGGCAATCAATCAGAGATGGGTTCAACACTTCAATTCGTGTGAACAAGAGTGCCTTCCCATTACTGCACATAGTAGAAGTTCAGTACAAAAGGTTAGTCAATCTTTTGTGTGTTCCCTCTTGCCCAATTTCTATACATAGAGACTATGCACGCTCCAACCTTTCTAAGGTAAGCTAATCTTATTCATGTATGGAAGCTGTTGGAGCTTGTGGAGTTCAAATTGAAGGAGGTGATTTCTAGAGAACCTACCCTCCTTGTCATGGTAGTTGGGGTTCCCAATGTTGGTAAATCAGCTTTGATCAATTCCATCCATCAGATCGCATCATCTCGTTTTCCAGGTGTCACAGTTTATGTTATGTTGTTATATTTTTTTTCCCCGGTAATAAATTATGGAATGGAAATCTAATACTAATGTGTTTAAAATGTAAATTTCTAGAAATGATGATTTTGAAAAAGAAAAAGAGAGCCACTGTGGGTCCATTGCCTGGTGTGACCCAAGATATTGCTGGATACAAGGTCATATACTCCCTCCGTATCTATTTAATTGTCACACTTTCCTTTTTTGGTGTATCTAATTAATTGTCTCCTTTCTTTTTTTGGAAAGAATCTCACTCAAAAAGCCGCTACATTATCGCTACAGTACCGCAGCAGTACCAAAAACCTCTTACTTTTTATAAAGTCTACCGTAATTGTCTTAAACTTTGTGAAAAGCAAATGGGTCAACTAATTAGATACAGAGGGAGTATTAGATATTTTAGTGTCTACAATTTCGTGCTCTCAGATAGTAAAGCATTAATATGTTTACAAATGATTAAAACTGAATTAATTTCAGCATCCATTTTGGGCGGGGATCTCTTCAGTTATAAGATTCCTCAGGATCACATCTAGTGATGATTATCTTTTCTCATTCAAGACTTATGGAATGATTCATATTTATCTCTTATTTTTATTACACAGTTTAAGAAATGTTAAATGTTTAGATTTGATTGAATGCAGATTGCGCATCAACCTAGCATTTATGTTTTGGACACTCCAGGAGTGTTGGTACCAAGTATTCCGGATATTGAGACTGGGTTGAAACTAGCACTAACAGGTCATGCCTCTTTCTAAGTAACAATATCTATCTTGTTGTTGTTTCTTTTATTCCTTTACATTTGGATATTAGAAATAAGTGGTCATGTGATGAGACAAATTCAGATTGCAAAGGTGACGGAAGCCCCAAAGTTTTTTACTGAGATAAAAATGTGTGTATGCCCTAGGCAGTTCAATGAAAGTACCAAACTATTAAATGTAACCCAATATTGTGAATTTAGGCTGTGCTTGATTGAAGACAAATTAGTTATTGAAATGTTTGCCCGTGGGTAAAATTATTCTGGAGGTGCTCTTTGCATAGTATAATGTTTAAAGCACAAAAACAGGACAAATAGCTTCAAGAAAATGACTTCGTCATGGAAACCTCAATTAGTCATGGAAAATATTTTGGTCTATCAAAATGCTTTCTGTTGATTTTTTTTGAAGAAATCATCGCATAATTCCCAAGAATTTAATCTGTCTATAACCAAAGTATTCTACAGTATTTAAAATTCAATACTTCTCATTATTAACACCTTAATGAAGTAATTTGGTGCCACATGAAATTTGCAGTGTCAATTAGCTGTCTATATAACTTCATAAGTTATTGAAATAGTTTTACGCTGGATGCCCTTTTTGTCTTTTTTTTTTTGGATGAAAGATGCCCTTTTTGTCTTAACCGCAAAAGAAGAGGTATGAGATGAATTCCAAAACGTCATCATCATATGCATTCCACTGAGTTGAGATAGCTTCTATATGCCTATTATAGAAAGCCAAAAAAACCGTAAGGAATTGATGAGTGTGCAAATCTGAAAATAAACTACCAGATAATTGATGAGTGTGCAAATCTGAAAAGAACCACTTTTCTGAATATATTATTATTATTCAGGGTCTGTAAAAGATTCTGTGGTTGGCGAAGAGCGAATTGCTCAATACTTATTGGCAGTTTTGAACACTAGAGGCACTCCTCTTCACTGGAATCACCTAATGAACTGGGATTCTAATGTTCTTCATCGTGATACTCGCGACAAACCCGAATACAATCTGAAGGAGCATCTTCTAAGGAGTAGGAATCCTGTATTAGATAAATCTGATCTGCACTACATTGAGGTAATTTGAAAGTGTTACTGCGTATGCCATCACTTATTGAAAGTCCAGCTTTTATGTTGAATGAATTGATTGTTTCATTTCCAGCACAATTAGAAAAATTTAATTTACTGGTGTTTGGTACTCTGTTTGAATTATTTTAAGGTTATTGCAACTTTCCCTGAGATGGAGAATAAGAATCTTGTCATCTCTTTATTGAAAAGAGTTCCTTGGAATTTGAATAAACCTTACAAAGTCAAAGGGACACCAAACATAATAGGGATCTCTTTCCTACACTATTAAAGGTTTCAAATTTCAATCTAGAAAGTGTAACATGATAGATGGAATAACCCCAAATCTTTTATGATGATTTATTATTTAAATATAGCATATGTGTGGCAAGCACTTTAACGTACACTTTAAATGCTTATAAAAAGTCATGGTAGATGCTACTCACTCACACTCAATCCCTCCCAAAGTAAAAGATTCAAGGTATGTGTAAAAGATATTAGAATATGTTTTAGAATATTTTAGGAATATACTCTAGGATATGATATTATTATTGTATAGAATCTTATAGAAATATTCTATCTTTGTAGGATATTCCCGTTTTCTTTGTTCTTCTTGCCTTTGTGTTTGCCGTTCTTGCTCCCGGGCTTGCCCTCAATTTTTTTGGCGCCCGGGTCAGCTTCCTTCTTCCTCTCCTTTGTCTCTTCCTCTGTGCCTACTTTTTCGTCTCTCTTCCTTTGCTTGGCGTCCTCCGCCTCTGCATGGCGATCAGCACGCCTTAGCGCTTCCTTGTAAAAGGTGGGAGGACTTCTAATGAAATCCTTGTAGAGTTCGCCTAACTGGATGAATTTGTGAGCATGGCCCGATGCTTGAGCTCCATCTCCGCCAGTCGGGTGGGCAGGCTCCCACTTGGGTTGGGAGGCAGACTCACGGTTGGGCTGGAAGGCAGGCTCCCCGCTCGGCTGGAAGGCAGGTTCCCTGCTGGGCTAAGAGGCAAGCTTCCCGTTGGGCTGAAAGGCAGACCTCCTGCAGGGCTGGAAGGCATGCTTCTCATTGGACTGACAGGCTGGCTGGTCGTCTTGGACCTCCTTTCCTTGATGGGCTTGATCGATTGGGCCGACTTGAGCTTTGGGGTTTGGGCCCACTAATCGGGTTGGCCTGGCGAGACAATGGACTTGGGCTTTGGACTTACTGGTCCAAGTCGTGGACCTGGACTTAGGGGTCCAAGTTCGGGGCTGGATCGATTAGGCTCTGGGCCTAGTCCCTATTGTTTACCAGTCTCAAGCTAGCTGTTTACCGGTCTCAAGCTAGCTGTTTACCGGTCTCAAGCTAGTTATTTATCTGAAGAAACTTTATTTTTACGAAGTCTAAGTAATTTTTAATTAATTTCAGTAATTAGTGGTTATTCTTGCTTAAATTAAATTAATTATTTAAAAATAGAAAAAAAAATAGTTATGGCCTAATATTAGTTTAATTCACTGTTATTTTACACCTAGTAGTCAAAAGTAAAATTAAAACGAACTTGGCATATTTTTAGTCATTTTTTGGATTTTCTAGTTAATAGTTGGAGAATTATCAATTAGTTGGATTTTAGGTTAATAAACTCAAGAAATATTCCATAAGGTCATATTTTAGTTCCTATACGTGTATTTTGGCAGAATCTTATTTTTATTTGATTTTTGCTATCATACATGTTTAGTTCCTTGTCAATGTTGAATTTATTCATTGTATTCCTAAATTTTAAAATGATGTTTAGTAGCTAAATTTGTTTTGGGTATGAATTGAGTAAAAGAATATGGATTGACTTATAGACCGAAAATTAGAGTTTAAAATTAATAATTTGGACTAGTCATTTTCATTAATTAAATTTTTGGAAATTTTTTTCTAACTTGTTTATGAGATTAGAAAATGATTTAAGTCAATCATATTCGAGCACATCAATAAGGCCTAATAATAGGATATTTACTTCTTGTCTATAAGAGATAAATTCAAATTGCTTAAATAATGAGTTTAAATAGATGATGAATTTGGCTATTTTTATTAATTAAAATATTGGAAAATTATTTCTATCTTGTCCATGGGATTAGAATTTAATTCAAGCCAACCATTTTGAACACATTAATGAAACCTAGAAATAGGATAAATTAGTGGAAATAGTTTCTAGTATTGTCTATGAGGAAAGAAACTATTAGTTCAATTTTAGTTTTCAATATCCCTAATGACTAGGTCCAAGAATATATCCATTTCTGATTACTCAATTCATTGCCCTTATTTACATCAATCTTTTGAACGCTTGAGCTTCTAGTTGCAATTTTATTTGTTGCAAATTGCCATAATTTAATTTCAGCATTAAATTTGCTTGTGACTAAGATTAAACTAAGAAACCCCTCCGCCATTCCCGAGAGACACGATACTTGGGGAAAAATCGAAAGGTTAGACTTCGTTTTACTACAACGCCGCAAAAGCGGTAATCAAATGGCGCCGTTGCCGGGGAATGACACGATAATTTCTTGATTTAGTTCCAGCATTCATGATTTTGAGTTGGTTATTTATGTAACAAGTTGGGCATGATAAATATCTATGCTCCAACTTGAGGGAGAGTGTAAAAGATATTGGAATATACTTTAGAATATGATTTAAAATATTTTAGGAATATACTCTAGGATACTATTAATGTATAGAATGTTATAGAAATATTCTATCTTTCTGGTGTATATTTATAGGGCCTTAATCGTCCAATGAAATAAACAAAAAATCATTTCCTCTCCAATATTATTTCTTAGTTTGTATGCTCTATTTCAACCGTATGCATGTTTGATTTGATGAGTATCTCTTCGGTTTACTTGCAGGATATGGTTAGTGCAGTTAAACGGGCGCTTTATGTCACTCTCTCCGAGTTTGATGGTGATTTAGAAGAGGAGAACGAGTTAGAGATTCTAATAGATAAACAATTCGAAGCTTTGCAGAAGGCATTTAGAATATCCAACAAGGCATCAGAAGCTCGTTTAATGATATGCAAGAAATTTATTACTTTGTTTAGGACAGGCAAACTAGGTACCTTCATTCTTGACGACTTGCCTCTTTCCCCACGCTCTGTTCCATGAAATGTATTTCAATAGCGTTTCCCCTAATGTTTCAGTAGCGTGGGAGTGTATTTTTATGTTATTAAAGTCGTCAAGAACTAATTTAACTGAGGTATTATTAAACAAAGATAAAAGATTGTTGGTATATAATGCATTAATGCTCTATTGGGAAATGGCCCAGTTCTTCCTGCAATATTTTATTATAAGGTACTATTCGTTTCAAGGAACATAAATATTCACATAGCACACTATAGGAATGAGAGTAAAGTTATATTGGGTTTAAAAAATTTGTTGGCCTACGCTCAAGGCATTGTACTATCATATATTCCTGTTAGTACATCCTAAAGAAGGTACAAGTGTGTTTCTTAAGGGTATGTTAAGTTCAAGGAATGTCATATTACCATGGGAATGTCAGATTACTGGGTATGTTATATTGATGGGAATGTAGTCAATTGATTTCTATTTGTGTCAAGGGAATGTGTTATAATTTATTTGGTTGAAAGATATCTTATATTGCAGATATAATGAATTATTTTTATGCCCTTTAAATCTATAACTCTTATAGCATAAATATCTTAAAAAATTTAAATGTCAAGGCAAAAAATATGCAAATAACAAGAATAGACATTCGAATATAATTAATACTTTGTCCGTCCCACCTAAAAGGTTGTTACACAATTTACGATGTTCGACTGATCATGAAACTAATCGATCTCTGTCAATAATAAGATTATTTTTAGTAAATAAAATTTACATATTTAGACACTACATTAAAAGTTTTATAGTCACAAAAAATTAAATTTGATAACAGTTGAATATAGAAAGAGATTAAAATGAAAAGAGATAATTAATTGAATGTATTTTCGGAAGAAAATTAGATCACCCCAGGAATGTGAGATAACCTAAGACGTGGATGGGTTTAACATTCCCCTCCATATAACATTCCCGGGAATGTAATTTTTCTGATTTTTCTTTAAACCCGTGAACCAAACAAGTGTATCTAACATTTCGTGCATCACATTCCGGCTTTCATGTGAGATTATCCCCAACCAAACGGACCCTAAGAGTTTAGAAGCAAACTTGGTTTTAATTAAGATCAACTGCGGTATAGAATGGTTTTTTGTTGCTTTAAATTTCCCCTAAGATTGTTGGTCAATTCCAATCACCCCTCATCTTCCCTATTATAGTCACTTGGGAGTTGGCAGAGGTTCTTTTCCGCTTTTCAATACTCTTTTCTTGATAACCCTTTTGTCCCTTAACATCTGTTTAACGTTCCTGTTTAGAGAAAATTATCTCTCATATGATTAATACATCATGCATTTCTCAATCTATGACTTAGTTATGTTTTTTTCCTATTTTTATGGTTCAATATGATGAAGGTAATTTCACATTATTCTTCCGCATCTTATATTCCATGGATCCCCCTCAATAGGTTAATTAATAGATATGGAAAATTGGAAACTATTAGTTGACCATATTTTAATTTATTTCCTGTTTTTTTCGCAAATGATATGCACGTTCTATGTGCCAGACACCATGTTTCATATTTCTTCCTAAAAACAAGGACATAACACATATGGAGTATACCATAAATGATTTCGTTGATGTTATAATAATAATAATTATTATTATTATTATTATTATTACTATTACTATTACTATTACTATTATACTTTTCGGATTCTACTTCTATTCCTTAACAATTCTCCATTTTATTACCATCTTCTATTATTACCCTTTCATTATTGTCTTCTATTGCTACCCTTTGATTACTGTAGGTCTCTTATTACTATATGTCTTTTATTATTGCCCTTTCATTATTGTATATCTTCTATTACTTCCATTTCATTACTGTACGTCTCATATTACTGTCATTTCATTACTATATGTCTTTTATTATTGCCCTTTCATTATTGTATATCTTCTATTACTTCCCTTTCATTACTATACATATTCAATCACTACCCTTTTATTATTGTCTTCAATTAATGCCTTTTCATTACTGTCTATTACCGATTATAACTCCAAATGCAACTAGAGTAGGTGAAGTTCTATCATAATTAGTCTACAACATTGATTATCTAAAATCTTTCTCGATAATATTGTTTGATTTTCGTTATATCAGATTTAATAACTTCTTATGATTTTTTCAATTCTATCAATAATGTATATACAGAAATTGCAAAAAAATCATAATTTTTCTAAATATCTTTTTTTAGTTGGATTTTTTTTTGAATTTTTCATATGCAATATTTATATCATATGAATGATTATAAAAAATAAAAAATTTTGATATATATTTTTAAAAAATTGGATCAAAAATGAAAAAGTAAAAACCATTACAAAATAATTTGAGGATATCAACTAGTTTCCATTTCCAAATAAAACTTCCCTTTCGCGAACATCATTTCAACCGGCTGCATAGGGCAATATGCTCCTAAAAAAGCGTTGGAAGTTAATGCATTGAGGGCGTCTTCTAAAAAAACACTTGTTTCCATTTGAACATATTGGTATTTTTGTTTTGCTGGCATTCTTATTAAGGGCATTTACGGAATTATACTGCATGTTTCATGTGACTCTGGATGTCATGCGTATTTGTTGGTCATATTTCGCATGTTTAACTTTTTTGGTCATATTTTGAGAATGTTTCTATGCTTTAGTTATATATACGTATTTTTAACCGTCTTTAAGGATGACTAACAAAATATTGATATGAATTGTATTTGTGAAGCATATGTCTGTTTGTATAATAAGTTAAATGTTGAAACTTAATATTTTGGTTAGTGCTCTCATAAGTATTTATGTGAATGGTTTTTAGTGGTGGAACACTAATACAATAATAAAGCACTACTATGAGCAGGATGGTAATATTCTTCATGATTAAAGATTTTGCTTATACACTAAAAACCATAATAAGAATGGGACTTTTGACTATATGTGATACAAAAAGTGGAAATCCTTTTTAGTCAAGTGTATTGCTGATAATAATATAACCATTATCAACTATAGTCTAGATTACTGGAAATTTGATAATTGATCTATCTTCAGCTACTACATTCGATCTAACTATTAATACCCCTTGGATTTTAGCTTTCCTTATTTTTCTCCCTGACTAACTAATAGAGGTAAATCTGACCATTATTTGTTGCTTCTCAAATGTAAAGATGTCATCTAAAAGAACCCAACTTCTTCCACATTCAATATTTGGATGCTTGTATTGCATTTGCAAACTCCAACTATCATATTTGCCATTAACTCAATATGAATAATTATATACTATGAAGAGTTTGTGGAGGGTTAGTCCCATTCTAAAGAACAATGGACCTGTAGTGTGAATAGTATCTTCAGAATTTATAAATTAGTCTTGTTCAAAACCAGAATGCACATACATTTCTCTTGGCAAATGTGTTTTCTAATTATGATATCCATAGAGGTGGGGATGCTTTTTTAAAACTTTTGTCAGTCCATTAAGAGTGTATTACTTCAAGATCTATCTATTCACATGTTATATCGTTTATGGATCCTCCATTGCGTAGTTGACCTAACTCTGTAAGAACAACGAGATGATTAATTGTGAAGAGGCTTATACGAGAACGAACTCCAATACTATGAAGTTTTCTATATATTATGATAAACCAATGTCACTAAACATAAATGAATACAAAATGAAAAAACAATAAATGTTAATTGCAACATGTTTTTGACATTTTTAGGTTCTTTCTGCCCTTTCTTGTTTTCCTCTTTTCTTATTTCAGCCTTCAGCTATCTCCATGTTTTATTTTTTTATTCTTTCTCCTTTCATTCTTTTTTCTCTATCTTTGAAAAATAAAGGGGAATGTTATTAAATACTCACTCCGTCCCAAAATGATGATCCTGTATTTCCTTTTTGGGATGTCCCAAAATGATGGTCTTGTTTCCCTTTTTGGAAAGAAATATGTGGTTCATATCATTTCACTTTATTATCTTCGAATCTCAACCACAACTTTTACCTTTTCAACCACTTTATTAAAACTTGTGCCCAAAAGAAATGAGACTATCGAATTGGGACGGAGAGAGTACTTTTTTATATTTGGAAAATCACACTTTGGTCCCTAAGTTATTATTTATATTGAAATTTAATTTCCATTTATTTACTCTTTTATTCATAAATATCATCCCCAGTTTTTTGAATTTTTATAAATGTGATTTTCGCCGCTAAATTTAAACGAACAATAACAACTTACGGACTAAAAGTGTGATTCTCCAAATATAAAAGAATATTTAGTAACAACGCCATTTATTTTTCAAATATCAAGAAAAAGAATGAAAGGAGAAACATAAAAATAAATAAAAAACAGTGGAATAGCTAAAGGGAGCAATAAGAGAAGAGAGAAACAAGACAAAAAAACCCTATAAAAAACTAATATAGCAGGTTGATTTCCGGTAAGGGGGCTTATGTGATGCGTTTGAAACATTAAGGAGGCGTTTACTTTGCACCTAAAGTCACAGTTATGTTAGTAAGACAGAAGAAGTAAACACGCAAGTTGCTTAAAAAGTCGCTTACTAACCGAAAGAGGTGCTTAAAGTGTCACTTATTAAGCATATCACCCCCCATGTATTAATTAAACGACGCTTTAATTTTTTTCAGTTTCCGAATTTATCCTTACCCTTACTCATTGCCCTTACCCTGTTGTTACCCTCTACCCCACCCCTACCTCCTAACTCTACCTTATCCCGACCAACCCACCCACCCACCCATCCCCTTTTACCATAACCCTTAACACCCCACCCTGACCCCACCCCCTTTTACCTCTACCTTACCCCTACCCCCACTTGTACCCCTTATCTCGACCCTACCCTTTTACCCCCTACCACCTGCCCCTACCTCGACCTCGACCCCAACCCACATCACTACCCCCTTCTGACCATACCTTACCCTATCCCGACCCTACCCCTTTACCCCCTACCACCTGCCCCTCCCTCGACCTCACCTTGACCCGACCATACCCCTTTACCTTACCTCGGCCCTACCCCCTACCACCTGCCCTAACCCCCACCTCGTATCCTACCCCTAGCCGTTACCACCCCTACCCCTACCACATGCCCCTACCTCGACCCCGACCCCGACCCACACCACTACCCCCCTTCTGACCATACATTACCCTACCCCGACCATACCCCTTTAGCCCCTACCACCTGCCCCTACCTCGACCCACCCTGACTCGACCATACCCCTTACTCTACCTCGGCCCTACCCCTACCACCTGCCCTAACCTCCACCTCATACCCTACCCCTAGCCATTACCACCCCTACCCCTTACCCAACCCTACCCCTACCACATGCCCCTGCCTCGACCCCACCCTGACCATGGACCCACCCCTACCCCTACCCCTACCCTACACCCTACCGCTACCTAGGGGGTACAAGGAGTTAGGGGTACGGGGGTTGGTGTCAGGTCGAGGTAGGGGGTAAAGGGGTAGGCTCAGGGTAGGGTTAGGGGTCGGGGGTTAGGGGTGGTGGGGTAGGTGTATGGGTACGCGTACGAGGTGACACCCACATATTATATTATATACTTGTGTTCATGTATGTTTCTATGCCTATATTTGTATAAGGCTATTTTGGACATTTTAATGTTAAACGATGTTTTAAATCCTTTGAAATAAAGATGAGCTTACAACACGGCTTATTTTATGCGTCCCTTATTAACGCGAATCTTAATAAACACCGTTTAGTAACCCGTGAAATAAACATGTCCTAAATGTATGTAAGTGACTATTTTTTCCGGGACAAAGACTTAGACGATGATTTCAGGATAATAGAACTTATTTGATTCTTTTGATAAAACAATTAAAAATTAAGTGAACTTATTTGGCTGCGGGCCTTTGCAGCCAACCTCTTGCTTGGGACTTGGGACTTGGGAGTTGGGAGTTTTGGCCCTCTCTTCGTATCCTCAGCGATTGATTGTCCTCTCCTCATCTTTGGCCAAAATCCAGTTTTCAGTTTCCCCAAAGTAGGCTTGCTGCCCGCGTGGATGCTCACTGGATAGCAAAGTAGCTGAAGAAATGGCAGACAGAGGTTCGGTGTTGGCTACACTCTGCAAATCTCAATGGCCCAAACTTTTCAACTCCAGTCATGTGGTCTTAAGACCCCTGCTCTTACATTCTGTTTACCCAAAATCATGGTACTTCCCCTCTTCATAACTCTCTTCATTTTTTTCAATATATATCAGTATTTGACGAATAAAAATTTGAAATCTTTGGCCTGTTGGGGCATTCTAGTCTAGGTAATTTGATATGCAAGGTTTTCTCGAGAGGGGCGGTAATCAGGCCAGATTACGGACCCAAAAGTTGTAATCTCTGGGGGATGCGCTTGGTTAGGTATCTATCCATACTTCCCAGAGTTCCAGAGTCAGGAAGTAGCGGCAACATTGCAGTTGTTGATGATTGTTTAAACAAATCTGCAGAATTGAAAGTAAAAAGAAAGAAACTGAAGGGTAGAAGGGCTGTGGTGAAGTGGTTGAAGTGCTTCAGGTGGAAGAAGAAGAAAGAATTCCAAAAGATGACTGCTGAGGAAAAACTGCTTTTCAATCTGAGAAAAGTAAGCGAACACTTATACCACCTCACTATATATGACTCCTAAGTGAAACAGAATTCAGGACGGTTTCTAGATTAGTTCTTTTCAATAATGTAATTGTTAAGACATCCTGCCTCACCAATATAAAGATACAATTTCCCATAAAAGACCTTAGACACCTCCAAGGCTCCAACTATCACTAGACCTTTTAGAATTAAACATTTAGACCAGAAGTCATAATGTATTTGTCAAGACATCCTGCCTCACAAATATAAATGATATCAAAGTTCATTATGCTCAAACAAGCAACTCGATATGATTAAAAATTTGTTTGCTTCAAAAAGCTACCATTTTGCGGGCATGTTTGAACTATTCCAATCTTCCAGGATGAAACTTTGAGTATACATGGTTATGGTTTTTAGATTGTCTCAGCTCTACATCGTTTCAAGTTTTCAAAGTGTTTCCGTAACGATGGAAGCTCTGCATCATTATCTGCTAGACTGCTACAGACCTTAAGTTGAAGTTTAGTCAATGGCCGCACAATTTTAAAGTTACATTTTGACTTTGGATTGATGAATTGCTTGCACATAGCTCTTTAATGCTCAGAATAATATATGCAGTATAATTTATAAGTGTATAAATGTAATTTGGTATTATCCTGCCAGAACTAAACTACAAGCATATTTTAGACGTAACATTATGCTTATGGGTTTTCTGATTTTGTCTTGGTTCTAGGCACGCAAAAAAGAAGAAAGGCTTCTTGAAGCTTTAAAGAAGATTGAACCAAAGGAAGAGTCACCCGAAGCCACCCATGATCCTGAGATATTGACACCAGAAGAACACTTCTACTTTTTGAAGATGGGGAAAAAATGCAAGAATTATGTTCCTGTTGGAAGACGTGGGATATATCAGGGTGTGATCCTTAACATGCACCTCCACTGGAAGAAGCACCAAACACTTAAAGTTGTTGTCAAGACATTCTCTCCTGAGGAGGTTAAGGGAATTGCTGCAGAACTGGCAAGGTTAAGCGGTGGCATTATTCTTGATATTGAGGATGATACTACCATCATTATGTATAGGGGAAAGAACTATGCTCAACCACCGACAGAGATAATGTCCCCCAGAAGCACTCTTTCTAGGAAAAAGGTTGTCCGTCTTTCTTCATTACTCTTTAATAAAAGTTTAGGAAAACTGGCAGCAATATTATTTCTAGGGATTCATTATGACAAAAGTATGACAGTTTTTTTCCAACAAATGACCAAATAATTTCAAAACCCTAAATATATCCTTTCTGCTCCCCAACTCTTCTCCTTGCGGCCTAGTGCCACCACTCGGCCACTGCCAAATTTTTCCCGCAAACTCGTCAGAAAAAGTTGCTGCCAGTCATAGTGACATGTGGGACTGCATCACCAGTAGAGATTATTAAAAGTGACAAATATAGTCACTGTTTTGGGATTATTATAAAGTATTCATGTTTTGTCTTTAACTTTTCCTTTAGTCATATACAGGCCAAGCACCTAATATTTATCTGATTTACTCATAAGTTTTATATCTCGAAGCTAACATTGCCATCAAATTACTTTGACTACCCAGGCTCTGGATAAATCCAAATATAGAGATGCCTTGAGAGCTATCAGGAGATATATACCTAGACTTGAGCATGATCTTGAGCTGCTTCGAGCACAAGCAGGAAACCATGCCAGACTTCCTGAAGAAAACGAATCAATTGGATCAGAGAGTTTTGATTCTGATCACCAGTTACACTTGCAAGCTGAGGGATCCAAAAAACTGAATGAAGTAAAGTCTCAAAATGGCCAACATGATGATGAAAATGACTCGGACGAATCTGATCTAGGTGAAGATTCTGAAGATCTTTCAGATATTTTTGAGACCGATGAGTCTGAGGATGCAAATGATGAGGATAGTAATGAGGGTCCCTCCCTTTATCTGGATGAATTTGAAAAGTTTCCAGTTCATAACAGTCGGGAAACAGAGGATTTTGAGGAACATTTGCGTCAAATATCTGCTGATTCAATGAAAGGGAAATCCCAAGGTGGAGATCTAAAGGCATCAGATCTAGATGAATTTGATAAGATGATCCTGGAAGCTGCATCACTTTTGAAGAAAAACAGGAGATGAAAAGCATCTGTATACTGGTTAGTCAGCTCTTTCTTTTGAACTTTTGAAACTTGAGATGTTTGGGGGACGTATTTAACTATTAATAAGAGAAATATCTCCTCCAGCAAGTCTAAATACCATGAGAACGATTATGAAAGATATAATTCCCACAATGACCAGATTACCTCTTACTGATCGCAATAATGTGCAACTTCCATGGAACAGTAACAAAAAATGTAAAATAACTAAATAATACCTACTATTACTATCAACCAATAATAATGCATACTATAGAAATAACATTTCGTACCTCAACAATTTAAATACATAAAAAATGATATGGAGCCACTATTTTTTACTATAAATCTGGTCACTTAACCCATCAATAACTGGTACTAGACTACCTAGTAAGCTATATTTGATAAATGATAAGTTGGTACCTATTTTTGATGGTTTGACTGATGGTTAATACTTGATATTATGTAGAGTTATTTTTCTTAAAATGGAAAAATATTAGTTGATGGCTGACACTATGTTGATGGTTGATACTTCATATTATTTAGAGTTATAGAAAATGTATTAATATTAGTAGGCAGTTGACACTTAAAAGCCTCTTTTCAACTTGCAAGTTTTACAGTAACACACTTTTTTTCTCAAGATTGCCTGTAATTCAAAGCTTTGAGCTTCAATTCTAACCAGCATACGAGCTTATACTGCAAGCACGAAAATACAAGAGATAAATGTTGCTTAGAGCTTATGAAATTGCTTCAGTTTCTTTTGAAAATGTATCACTTGATCATTTCTTTCCTACCCATTTTACTCTTGCACAGTTTGCTTTACCCACTATACATCTTGAACTTGATCTCGAAGCCTATATAATTCATACTTATCTTACTTCCACTGGTACCAGACCACCAAATAAGCTTTCTTTGATAATTTGTACCTGTTTTTGATGGTTTGACACTTTGACTGACTGGAAGTGTAGTCAGAAAATGGCTTTGTATCATTTTCGTTATAGATTTACATAGTTCGGGTATGAAACTGTTATTACCATATTTTGTATTTTGCATTAATATTTGTTGACTGTTGATACATCATATATGATATTATTTAGAGTTATTTTTCCAAAAAATGGTCACACCAACAAATTACTGAACATCATATTCCAGCTAAATTCACAGAAGGGTGTAGCCGAGCCTTTCGTTGTACAGCTGGGTTTAGCTTGGTAATAGCAGGGTCTAGCCTTCTGCTTTTTATAGCAGGGTCACACATTCATATGTGTTCAACAAGCAGGGTTTACTGTTCTGCTCTCCAGCAGGCTTTCACCTTTCTGATACAGAATGGTGGTCAACCTTTCTGGTACTCAGTAGGGTGCTAACCCTCAACAGAATAAATGTATACCCTATGCTGATATAAGAATAAATTTTATCTTTGCATTGCTCCAACATATAACACTCTTTTCATTCTTGGGAAACTTTGATATAGTGGATTGTGGGAAGGTTAAACCCTATAGTGCTCAGCACACTTATTTGGCTTCATTACTTGTGAACATAAAAAACCTATTTCATTAGGACACTAGTTAAAAACATTTAGTTAGGAATACATTAGTGGTCGTTTACTCGTTTCAATGGACGTAAAGTGATTATTTAATTTCCAAAACACTTAAAAGCCTCTTTCCAACTTGCAAATTTTATAGTACCACACTTATTTCTTTAAATTCACTGTAAATCAAATACGTAGTATTACTGAAATAAGTCAAGCAGATTTGACACGATCTGGAGAGAATTTGCAAATCAACTTTGTCATCTAGATGATGCTTTGAACTTCAATTATAACCAGCAGAGGAACTTATACTGCAAGCAAAAAAAAATACTCCGTACAAGAGTTAAACATTGCTTGGACTCATATTTTTTTACCACCTTAATGATTTACTTTCTACCTATTTTACTCTTGTACTCGTACTTTTACCAACTGTACACATTGAACTTGATCTCCTAGCCTATGCCTATGTAGTTCATACTTATTTTTCAGGTGTTCCTGCTTACAAGGTTCATTACCTAGTATATAAAGCGGTCAATTCCTCTTTAGCTAGTTTATGTGGCTTGGCGCTTGACTTGACTCCCACAAACTTACTCCAGTAGGCGACATTATTAAAAGAGATCAGGACCTAATGAGTGCTATGAAAATGAGACTAGTTTTTTCTATACTACAAAAAGTGACAAATTTGCATAAGCCCATTTTTTTCCTCAATCAGTTTGTTAAATAAAAATACTTCGTAGTTGCAATAAACTTGGAAAAATTGGTAGCTTGTTAACCGATGTAAACATCTCATTGTTGCCTCATAAGTCATTGTCACTGCCGCTCAATTGTTACAGCAAATGCTTGAGTGACCAATTCAAAACCCTAAATCCTGACATAAGTGTCCTGTTTGCTCTATCTCTTACTTTATAGACTCTAATCCTAATGACAGTGACTGATCCAAAGTGCATCATAAATGTAATCGTGAACATTAATTTTCAGGGACCTATTCTGAATTGCATTGTCTTATTTTTGAGTATCATGGATACATGTTTGGGGAACTAACATTAAAAAAAATTAATATGTAAACCTCATTTAATTAAAAATAATAATATTTTCATTCCATTCCTTCAATTTTTTGATTTTTTAACAAGTGGGGTGTATACATTAATTTTTTTGAAAATAAAGTGCGAAGTTTAATATCACCAAAAATATGGGATGCATAGTCAAATTGCACATACATACTGTGTGTAGTAGTAATGAAGTATGTTACCACTAATCCTTTGTATTTCCTATTCCTAGAAAAGAGAAAAATGTTGGAGGTGAATGGTTGAGTTTTAGTCATTGATGATTTGAATTTGGTCTATTGTTTCCGTGTGCAAGAAAGGTACACCACTAAGGGCATCTTCATCCATTAGATTATTAGAGGATTAAGTTGATGTGACAGGTTATTTATGGATCATGATTTAGACATTTAGTGAGGTAGATTATTTAATGTGATTATTTGACAAAATAATTCCGGATTGAAATATGAATCTAGATTATTTTAAGATTATTGCAAAATTAGAGTTAATTAGTTAGTGCATAACCCAGTGACTATTTTGAGATTATGAATGATGTAATTTAGAAGGTGTGAGATTATTTTGAAAAAGTCAGTGTCATAAAAGAAATTGTTCATTTAAGTAAGATGATGTGGATGTGGTAAGAACTGATCATGGGACAGGTATCTCTAAGGCTCGAGTTCTTAGTGCATCTAGTGGAAAGTGGCCCATCAAGTGTTGTAGCCTATACGGCGAGAGATAGAGATGGTAGAGAAATAAGGAATCGTTGGCTTAAATTATTTTTCTTACTTTATTGTTCTTTTCCATCATTTGCAATGGAGCCAAAAGACTCACTATTTTTTGGCTTAGGAATATGATGGAATAAAGCAAAATGTCTCACTAAACTGTTTGCGCTTCTATGTTATGAAGTAGCATTCGGTCCATGCAATTTTCAACGTGATTGTCACTATGGGTCATTCGGAAACAATCTTTTTGTGCTTTTGTATATGAGTAAGATTGCTTGCATCCGACCCTCTTACACCACCGTAGGTGGAAGCCTTTGCAGCACTGGGGTAATGATGATGACTTTATTGTTCTTCCATGTGATTCGATTTTGTATATGACTATTTGAATTTGAAAAAGTCAAATAAGAATACTAATACGAATAGTAATTTCAATTCACATACTATCCTCCGTTCTTTAATTCTTGCAACACTTTGACTTTCACGTTTGTCAACGCACAACTTTGACTATAATTATATTTAATTATGTATTAGTAAACATTATAAAAAGTTGATACTTTGGAAATTCACATTGATAGGAATTCAATAACATTTTATACGAAATAATTTGATTATGTATAATAGTAGAAAATCGTGGTCAAAGTAAGGTCTGTGAATAGTGCAAAAGTTACAATGTTGCAATAATTAAAGAACGAAGGAAGTATTTAACTAATACAAATATGAATACTTATAAATTCGATTTGAAAGTCATTTAAATACTCCTTCGTCCCTTAAAATTATGTCATCTTTCCTTTTTGGGACGTCTCAAAAACTTTTTCATTATCCCTTTTAATCAATTATTTTGCGGTCTTGTTGTTTCTCTCTCCTCTGCACAAACCTCTACTACACAGTTTTTACTTTATTATTCTCTGTGCCGGTCAAATTTGGCAAAATTTTAAGGGACGAAGGTAGTATATTCGAAGTATAATACTACATAATAGTTATAATAATAATAATAATATTAATAACAACAACGACACTAACAACAACAATAGCACTAGTATTACTAATAACGATGGTGAATATAGATTTTAGATTATTAACTAGCTACGGGACGTACAAGTCCAACTCATATACTCCCTTCGTCCCCCAATTAAGTTCCCGGTTTGACTTCACACGTATTAAGAAAATAAATTTGACTTTACTGTGGAGTGCACTGTTTTGCACTGTTCAAACATTTTTTGACACTGTTTGGCACTATTTTGCACTGTTTGACACTGTTTTGATGTAGATAATTTGCCAAATAAAGAAAGTAAGAAAGTGTTAACTTAATTTAGGAACTGTCCAAAAAGGAAAGTGGTAACTTAATTGGGGGACGGAGGGAGTACAATTTATACTACTAATATCATACATTATTAAAAGCTCAATTTCATTTTTGATTTGTTGCTTCTCGGGTTTTAGTCATGTTATTTATAATTGTTTTATAATCTACATGTTTCTTACTCATGATTTCTAAAATAGTTTCGGGCATAACACCTTTTCATTTTTCACTATGCAAAGGTCCGGCAAAAACAAGAAAGAAATGTGACTCAATAGTATTTGAGTATGTTAATTTTAGTTCTAATTAAAATTAAAATTTAAACATTACATATACGTAGTACTATGTACTCCCTCCGGTTCCTATTAAAGTTCCCAGTTTGACTTCGCACAGATTAAGAAAATAAATTTGACTTTACTGTGGAGTGCACTGTTTGGCACTGTTTGGACACTGTTTGACACTGTTTGGCACTGTTTTACACTGTTTTGTTTCCTACAATGTAAGTGTGAATTTAAATAAGGGACATCCCAAAAAGGAAAGTGAGAACTTTAATACGTACCGAAGGGAGTATGTTTTTGCAGTGGGGCAGATGGAACTGGGTGGCGTGCACTCAAGTCGCAACGTGAAGCCATTGCTATTAGTTTCCATAAGGTAAGTAAACAAACTTCGTGGGAATCCCTCAACCTTTTTATTTGTAGATATGGTCTGCTCATTCTTTTCTTTTCTAAGAGGGTCCAGCAGTGGTTATGGCAAAAGTAAAGCTCTCGAAAAGGAAAGAGAGACGCACCTGTCAACCCTTCTGTAAAGTCTGCAACAAATATAAAAGTGATCTGATATGCCTGTTATGTACCCCCTCAGGTTCTTTTTATGAATTATACATAGCTCAGAAGATACATGATGCTCCATTTAAGTCGTTTCACATTTCCAAAGAAGCAAATATTATCCTTTACCTTCTTGTCCTTATTAAAGATGAGATAGATGAAAGGGGCTTCATAGTAATTTTAGAGGGTTAGATTGGTGAATTTGGATCCACTCCAAAACTGAAGAGTTCCATTTGGAGAGAGGAGAAAAATTATGATGGGATATATTGTTGAGTAAAACAGAGAGAGAAAGGGTGAGAGAGATAGGAAGAATGGAATGTCATGGAGTAGTCAGGAATGTCAATAAATGTGTTTTGGTTTGTGCAGTTTTTTTTATTGCTAAGAGAATGTCATTAATTTATTAATTTAGGATGTTTTTACTTGGATTGTTTTTGGTTCCAGACTAGACCAGATTTGAATAATTATAAAATGGGTTAAATGCACCAAACCTCCTCGTGAAATTTAAATTTGGCGCATTAGACTCCTGTGATTTAAAAAATGCGTCAAAACCCCCTTCAAGAACAAATTTTACAATTTTGAAATCACTTTTTTTAATAATATGGTTGAATATGCAAGTAACTTTGTCAAAATTTCTAAATTATACAAAAAAACTAATCATTTTTCATTTTTTTGGAAATTAAATTTGTTCTTGGAGGGGGTTTGGCGCATGAGTAATTATAACACAGGGGGTTTGTTGTATTTAACCTCTTCAACCCATTATAAAATACACAAAGACCAGATATTTATTAGACCAGTTCAAACCAGATTAGACCAAACCAGAACAATAAATTTCAGTCCAAGTAAAAACATCCATATTTGGAATTAAAAACATCCATATTTGGAATAATGTGATATTCCGTATTTATTAGTGTGCGCCATTTGCAGACATCATCGCTTTTTTATCCAATCTTTTCTTTATGACATCTGATAACAAACTTTTTGAGTCATATTTTGGGACGGGGTTTAATACGCTAAATTCTCTCGTGATATATAAATTTCACGCATGACCTCTTTCGCCAATTAATCATGCGCATAACAACCATACCTCATTTAAAGAACTATTTAATTGTCAAATAAAAAATGATTGATATAAAGATTTTGACAAATTTGCTCATCATCATAACATTAAGATACACGATTTTATAGTGTTAAATTTGTAGTTTTGGAGTGTTATGTGCAGGATTAAATAAAACATAAGGGGTTTAGTGCATTTTTTGTATTACAAAAGCCTAATGCGGAGTACATAGAATTTATATTATCGGTTTGACACAAATAAAAAAAAATTGTCCACCTCAATATAAACTTTTTAAGCCCCAGCCTCATAACTAGACACTTATGGCTTCATCACTTATTACTACAGTGAAGGCTTTTACTCCCTATACAACGGTCATAGCAGCAGCAACAACAGCTCCTTTCCTAGTCTTTACATGGGATGCAAACCTCGAGATCAATGTATAATGGGAAATTTTTTGAAATAGCAATAAAAATGTTTACAATTTTGAAAATAGAATTGTTATATCTTTTTTCCCTAAACAGGATTGTGTTATTGCCATTTTGAAATTTTATTGTCATGTTTTGACATTATCAGATTTTAAACATGAGTAAATTTCGATTATTTCCTCAAGTGGCAATATTTTCAAAACTTGACAGTAATTACTCCTACTTAGGGAATAAAATGTATGATATTTCTATTATAGAATTTCTAAACGTTTTAATTCTTGTTTAGGATAATTTCTTTATGTATAATTAGTTTCATAGATATTGTTATTCATGAATTTTGTATATTAACTACTACGTGAGGCAAATATATACCCTCAACACATTTGATTTTTTCTTAATAGTACAATTATAAAATTTCGGTAACAATGGTCTTACTTGATCACCTTAACTTTGTGAAAATTTAAGAAAAAATGTGTAATTAATTGTTTTTCATTGATAAAGCATATTTCTAATATATGTTGCAATGACTAAATTAGGTAAATTAATTCCATACGTAGTACTCCGTATAATTTTTTTGGGGAAAGTACATCAAGTCATCAATCAGGCTCCATGCCAAATAAATGATGTCGAATTCAAGTGGTACAATTAACTAAAGTAATTCTGATTTCTATGTATTTTGCAATTGTCAAAGTTTGGTTTGATCTTGTCTATTCTAGTCTGAACTGGTCTAGTCTGATCTGAATTGATGTGGTCTAGTTTGATTTATATAAATGATTATTGTTTTTTGTTCACCTCTAGTCCTAAGGCTGAATTTGCACCCCTCTCGTGGTGATTTTAAAAGCCGAATATATTTATGAAAAGGAACACATATAGCAAGAAACAATAATTATGAGAAGTGATCAAAATTAAAATTTGGACTATATGTGAAATTTATATAATACTGAGTTGAAACAAAAGTGGGATCAATTCTAAAATTAATCATGTGAAGTTTCTTCGAATTTATTTATATGAATTCATTTAGAGGACCCTTTATTCGCTATCAGTAAAACGACAATCTTTTTGCGGAATTGCGGCTACACATTAGCCAAATAATTTGGCTAGTAAAGCTTTTTAAGGGCGACAATGTTAAGATCATTGAATTAATAATGATGGTATTTAGGCTAGATTCTAGAGTAATGCTTTTGTATGGAAAATCGAAATAGTTTGAGAAAATGGTCTGATAGGGCCTCGAACTTACAAAAAAATGTCAAATAATGCCTTATATAGGAGGTTCTGTTCGGCCGACGCCATTTGGGGTGGTTCCAGGTGGAATTTTTCAATGACATTTTGTGAGGATATTATTCATTAAGTCGAGTTTACTCATACCAAATTTCAGCTAAAACTTCAATCGGGAAGACATTCAAATAAATTCTTGCAGATAACTGCACTTTTAACCGCGCACTTATCTTCAAGAATTTATTTGAATGTCTTCCCGATTGAATTTTAAGCTGAATATTGGTATGAGTAAACTGGACTTAATGAATAAGATGCTCAAAAAGTTTCATTGAAAAATTCCACCGGGAACCGCCCCAAATGGCGTTGGCCGGACAGAACCTCCTATATAAGGCCTTATTTGACATTTTTTTTGTAAGTTCGAGACCTTATCTGACCCTTTTCCCAAATAGTTTTAGAGATGATACTCAACGGCCTAATTGAAATGATCTGACTTTAATAATCGTACATTATTTATATAGTTTGAAATTTTCAAACTTTTTTACTCATATTTCGTGAATTTTCCCCATCCAAATTAATAAGCGTAATATTATTGTTGAACACGAATTGTAGATAGGGATGGACTAGTACCAAGCTCGAGCCCGGGACCGGGCCAGTACCACCCATTTAATTAATTTTTAAGAAAACATAGTGCAGTTGGGCCCAGCTGGGTCGGGCCCAAAAAACGAGCAAGAAGCTTGCCCCTTATAACTACCGGGCCTAGACGAGTAACGGGTCGCGCCGGGACCGGGTCAGGTCGCCCCGTCCCAGTCCATCCCTAATTGTAGATAAGTTGGAGCATATGCAAAAATAGATATTTAAAAGAAATTGCTTCAAATATGGCGAACGCATGATAAAACTTTCAAATGGTGCACACATTTTAAATCTCAGAGTATGAGTTCTAATGACTTCTTATCCCTTGGTATTTTGTTTTAGAGTTTAGGTTTACCGATCCTATCATGTTTTAGAATTATCATTTCTAGAGTTAAAGGATCCCACTTAGATTTAGTGGCAAAGGTCAATGGATGCCTGAGTGATTGTGCTTCATGTACACGAAAAAGGCATTTTTGTCTACTCATAACTTCTTACTCAAAATTTTATTTTTGAGTTTCAATTTTACCTTGTTTTTTGTCCTAATTTAGAATTATGCTCTTTAATGAAGTGGTTGTTATCCATTATATACTTCCCCCCATTAAAGTGCTTTTTTGAACACAGAGGAACCGGCCGGATCAATATACATGCATGTGAATACTAGCTCATCATAAAGCATATTGCATGTTACAAAGAATGCCACTTTCCCTTCCGACCACTTTCTGTCCTCTTTTTGATTCTCTATGATTTATAGTACACTTTCCTCATCACTTCAAAACGCCCATAACACGCTAAGCAATTTATATATACATATCCTCGATAAACTCAAAGAAAACGCATAAAACAGACCATCAGAAACCATGAAAGGTAAGGAGATCACCAATAATGGACGACATCCCGCATCATCATCATCATCAGATCTCTTAGTATGTTTTCCTTCAAGAATAACCCATACAATGAAAGCTAGACTCTTGTTAGAACCCAACAAGCGCAACCCCGCACACAAAAAGTTACTGGCGCTCCGGTCTGCCGGCAGCCGCAGCGGACAAGCCAACAGCCCTGCTCTACAATGGTCCAAATCAAAAACCTCCGAGATCGCGGACGAACCGAAGTCCCCAAAAGTTACCTGCGCCGGGCAGGTGAAGGTCCAGCCCGATCAGCCTGCACGTTCATGCAAGGACTGGCAATCGGTGATGCATGAGATCGAAAGGCTGCACAAGAGACGAAAGTACAAACGGACGCCGTCGTCGTCGTCGTCGTTGTGGTTCAAGAAAGACGTGATGCAATTCATCACGTGCTTGCGTAATATCAGGTTCGACTTCCGGTGCTTCGGCGCGTTCCCGTCCTCCGCTGTCGATGACATCACATCTGATGAGGACGAGGACGAGGACGAGAAGGAGGAGGAGGAGGAGGCCAGGGAGGTGGAAAATACAGAAGGCAAAGATAAGGAGGATAATGAGTCTTCGAGCGCCGTTTTCTCTAAATGGTTCATGGTCTTGCAAGAAAACCAAAACCCAGAAATAAACGCCACAGAAAAAGATTCTGACGTTAATCCTCCGTGCGTACCGCCGCCCAACGCCCTCTTGCTCATGCGCTGTCGTTCGGCTCCGGCGAAGAGCTGGCTAAAAGAGATACAAGCGAAAGAAGATGAAGAGAGATCCAAACCCGCAGAAAATGAAGAAGGCAAAGAGAGTGCTACTTCTACTAACAGCGAGGAGGAGGACGAGGAGGAGGAAGAAGAAGACGAGAAGGAGAAGACGAAGAAAGACATGAGCTTAGTTGTGATGGGATATGGAGACAACTTCTGCAAACTGTCTTCCGACATAGCCAAGGAGACTTGGGTTGTTGCAGGAATCAGAGATCCGCTGATCTCAAGAAGTAGAAGTTGCAAGAGGTAATCAATACACACACATATAATGGGTTGCGTGCATGTTCAGGTCAACGTTTCATTTCTTTCGTTGACCCTGCCCAAATTGGGGCATCTTCTGTGAAAATAAGGATATTTCTTTAATTTATGGAGGAAGAAAGATGGTTTTAATTGTATGTCATGATTTTGTTTATTTTCCTTTCGCTCGTTTTCAAAGCAAAAGAAGCTGTTTAATTTGGGTTTTGAATTCTTAATTATACAGTATCTAATTCCATGCTTTTAGTAGATATGGTTCTGAATATTTATGTGTTTGTCAAATTGTGACGAGACTATGTCACTATGTTACGTTATGGGGTTGTAATTTGTGATGTCGATTGTGTATTCAAGAATTGTATCTAAATGTGTATAGCACTTTTTTAATGATAATAAAATATTGCACTGTTTGGTTGAATTGCTTCCGGCATCTCCATTCATAATGTTTAAATATAAGGATTTTTATAGTTTATTATTATTAGGTGCCTACTCCGGTACCTTCAAAAATTTAAGGTACGGTGCCTATTATTTTAATGCATTTACTTTTTCCGTTATTTTGCTAGTATGCCCCTAAATTATCTGATATTGGTTGTAAGTTAATCCTTCGTTATAATCCTCCTTCATGTTTCCGTCTATCTCTTTCATTCTCTTGATCGTGTTTCTCTATTGCATTTCTCTCAAAGGTGAGTATTGCGATTAGGCTTCAGACAATGAATAATTGATCGGATGTGCCAACCGATTTGAAGAAAGAAATTACCTAACTTATACGGAGTATTATTTATCCACGGCGATAACTTATTTGACCACATAAGGAGGGCACCTTTCCCTGGGAATAAAATTGGGCACCGTAGAAATCATCATGTTATTGTCACATATGAAAATCTCATTTAACATTAGAGCTTATGAACTCCCCTCAACCTGTCGTCCGGTCTCTATTTGGTTTTTTTATAGAGTTCTTGCTATTTTCAAGGACGTATTTAAGTCATTCCGAGTTAAAAGACATAGTTCAATGATTGTATTAAATGTGTTTATTGAAAGTTGAGAATAGTCTTGAATAATCAAGTACTCCCTCCGTTCCGGAATTATCTTCATTCTTTCCTTTTCGGTCCGTCCCAAATTTATCTCCTTTTTCCTTTTTTGGTAAAGAATATGTGGTTCACAACCATTCTTACACATTTCTCTCTCCTCTGCATAACTCTCCACCACACAAATCCCACTATCTTAAAATCCGTGATCGGTCAAAACCGGAGTTAAATATGGGACGGAGGGAGTATTTGATACAACATTTTTAATCTTAATAATATTTCATAATAATCTATGTATTCATGTCACGTCCCAAACTGCATCTAAGTGCTTGTACATCCGCCGTACAATCAAGTGACTTCACCCATGAGTCACATTCACTCGATTGTACAAGGCGTCCATGAACATAGTTCGTATCGTACTTAGTGACTAAACATACATAACAACATCACATTTTAGATCAAATGAATAGTGGAAATATTCAATATTCAATCGTGGACCACATATGGCAAAACGTGGGCTCGCGTGCCCAAAACAAAGTAATCATTACAAAATATCCATAAGCATAGTTTATAGTTCAAAACAGTGCAAAGGTTCAGGTAGCAAGCTCCACCTTCAACATGAAATGGTGGAGCACACTGAAGGGGTCAGTACGTGAATACTGGCTGGCACCAAGCTAAATGTAGAATAACTAACGTTTCAAGTATAAGATCTAAACATAGGGGTGATACATACGTTTATCCATGAGTTTTGAAAACACCGCTCGGTCCCTAGGTACTTCACCCGAACCTATGGTCTATATCATCCCATTACTAACGACTCATCCAAGCCTTAACCTTTAATCATCATATATCAAGCCTTAACATTTAAACATCGTGTTCCATGCAATTCCATGCAAAATATACACATATAGGATGACCGAGACCGGTTCCACCTTGAGTCGGGACCTGGAATGAATTTTATCAAAAACCGGTCACGAAACCGGTAGCCGAATCGACGCCGGTTCACTGCCTAGCCGGCGTTGGTTCATCATGAACCTTTTTTAACCGGGTTGTCAAAGGCTTAACCGACGCCGATACTGGCCCCTGGCCAGCGTCGGTCCACCGTCTCTTGGCAGTCAAAGCCTCGTTGACCGCCCAAACCTTCTCCGATGGATTCGAAACTTTTACACATTATGTATTAAGTCATAAGTCAAAATATGTCATTTTGTCCATTCAAAACATCATACTCCCTCCGTCCCCCTGTTATTGTCCCATTTCCTATTCACTTGGTCAACACAAATCTCTCTTACTTTATGTATCAAATTTTTATCAAATTTGATTCTGGTTTTTGCGACTTTGTAAATCTTTTAATGTAGTTTCTGAATATGTAATTTTCTTTTTCTAAAACTAATTTGAGTGCGGACAGGGATATGTTTGCTTTATCGTCGGTCAAGCATCGTAAACCGCAATGGGACAATAACAGGGGGACGGAGGGAGTATATGTTTTCATACACATTTAATACCTTTCACATGCATATTCATGTAGTTTTATTTCATATAAACCTAATCACTTTGGCAAAGCACATGCTTAAACTCTATTAAACATCATTATGGATACACAAAACATTGTTTTAGGTAATCTCCTACTTAACCCAAGAGTTACAAGACACTAAGCCATCCTGTCACCTTGAATGAGCGTTAAGAGGTTCTACTCCTCTCGGTTGAACTCCTGCGAAGCTCCGACGAACTTTGTTGAACTCCGGCGATAACGACGGTGACTCTTTCAACTTCGTGAAAGCACTATGAACACCTTAGACGAGTTCCTAACAAGGTTTCATCGTCACAAACTCATATCAACACAAATAACCTCTAAAAGGTTATTTTCCGGTGAACCGGTAACTTTGACTTCTAAGTCCGTTCTTGGACTTTGAACCACCTTCCAACCCCTCATTCTACAGTTCTAACCATGTAGATCAAATCTTGGGGTTTCCTTATATGATATATACTCCCTCTGTCCCAAAATGATGGTCCTGTATTTCCTTTTTGGGATGTCCCAAAATGATGGTCATGTTTCCCTTTTTAGAAAGAAAGATGTGGTCCATATCATTTCACTTTATTATACTCAAATCTCAACCACAACTTTTATCTTTTCAACCACTTTATTAAAACTTGTGCCAAAAAAACTGAGACCATCAAATTGGGACGGAAGGAGTATGTCATATGATAGCTAATGAGTAGAGAAAAAGTTATTATAAGGTCATTACCTTAATCCTCCACACTTTTCCTTCCTTTTCTTCCTTAAACTTTCTTTTTGGACCTCTTTGAGTTTGTCATATGGAGAGGAAGGATGAACATGGCTCTTTTTGTCTACTACCTCAAGTCTCTTCTCTCCCATCCCTCCAATCTCCACCCCATAGCTCTCTCTTCAAGCATTGTTTGGTTGTCTCAAGTTGACTTTGAGCACACAAAAATGTGGGGTGGCCCCCAGTCATGTGGGAGGTCATCCCAATATGTCCCGAAATGTACATTCGATCTCGAAAGTTGTATTTCTCGGACCGTTTTAATTATATTTTGTTTTATCGGGTCAAATAAAATATATAACATGTTCTCAATCACTATTGGCCTTTAGAATGAATATACATTCCCCAATTTTAGTTTAGAAGTTCTCGTAATTTATTACGGGCTGTTATATGATGAAATACCGATACTAGTATATGGGCCCTTTTGACCGATCGGTCAACCCTATGCCTTATTTATGGCCCAATATCAATATAATATGTGGTCTCGGACTTATCGGGTGGTCCCCTTTCCCACTGTGGGTCCCACATGCATTTTACTATTCACGCAAAACTAATAACAAAAATTTACAACCTCGTAAATTCATTAACTATTTCACAAGGTTTTATACATATTTTATCCTAAAGTAAATATATTTGAGAACGGTGTTACAATTCAACTATGATCTCTAACTTTTACATGATGACTTGCAAATAATTTCATGAATGAGGATGTCTATACGTAGAAAAAAATTTCGTATATTTTATGTATGGTACCAAGTACATGGCATGGAAAAGTAGAGCAATCGATTCAAGATAGTGTCAAACTCCAATTATAGAGTGACTGAATGACATGCTCTTTACTGTTTATTTTCTGATTTCTGATTTTGCATCCCATGTTTTAAGTCACTAGATTCGCACCCGCGCGATGCGCGGGATATTAAAATGTAATAGTTATATGATTTTATTTGTAAATATTACTTTGTCGCGTGAAATGAATGCAATTTGTCATAAACGTAACATGCATAATAAATTATAAGCAAAGATCGGATAGTGATAACTCAGAGATAGGTAGTAACTTTGTTTTGGAATGAGTAGGGAAAACAAAATGTAAAAGAGCATGTCTCGGTATTTTCACCGCAGAGCAATATCTGCAGTGCGATAACCTACACATTGCGAAAAACTTCCTTATAAACTACATTGGTGGTATGGTCAGTTGGTTGACCATCTTCATCACATATTAATATCTTCAAACCCTTAGGATTTGTTACTCTTGACACTGCAACATACAGCTGACCATGCGTGAAGACTGACTTTTTCAATAATAGTCCAACATGAGACAAAGACTGTCCTTGACTCTTATTTATAGTCATCGCGTAAGAGGTCATGACTGGAAATTGTCTTCTCTGAAACTTGAACGGTATTCTTGAATCCGAAGGAGTTAAGCTTAATCTCGGAATGACAACTTCATGCCCGGCATATTTTCCGCCCAAAATTTTTGTCCCTAGGATGTGATTTCCAAGTCGTGTAACACTTAACCTTGTTCCATTGCAAAGCCCCATTGAAGGATCAATATTGCTTAAAAGCATTATTGGGGTACCAACCTTTAGGGTTAACTCATGGTTTGGAACTCCAGATGCACGTATTTTATTGAGAAATTCTGGAGTGTGCAAATTAGCCAGAAAATCAGCATTGGAGTCTGACTTGCAAATGCTATCTGAACTTAAATATGTCCTTGACTCTTCATTAATATTCAAAGAAGTCATGTATTCATTAATTGCATCAACAACATCAAGGGTTGGAGCGAGGATTGCACGCTCTTGCAGGTAAGTCGGGTCATTCACAATATTTTCAAAGTTTGGGTAGGTGCTTTGGACAATAGTGGCAATGGGGTCGCCTCCACACTCTAACAAAAGGTCATTTGGAATTTTGACATTAGCAAAGCCATCATTATCTTCCCCCGCAGTCCCGTCTCCTAAACTTGCAATCCACTTTGCAAACTCTACCAAATCCTCATATTCACGATCATCAGTAAATGATTGAAGCCCCATGTTCTTCGTCAAACGTAATGCCATGCATTCATGCCAAATATATGAAGAACTAATCGTCGCATTCACAATGTCTTGTCTAGTACCTTTTGTAATGACTG